CCGGTGAGTGTATATTTTAACTTAACATGAAATTTGTTTCTTATATCAATGGTAAACTTTAAATTTATGGTTAAATGCAACACAATTAATTTCAATTAATTTTCACCCTCAGTGAAAATGAGTTTGACACCCCTGATCTACAGCATGTGTCAAAGTTAAGGCCTGCAGGCCAAATGTGGCCCACCATGGCATTTTATGGGGCCCACACCAGCTTCAAACACGTCTTAAAATAAGCGTTTGCTGCTTCAAAGCCGCCAGCTAGGGTGGTTCACTTAGTTGAGCTGTCAGCAAGAAAGTTGCCTGGTAGAATCCCTGCCCGGGGACCTGTCTGGGTGGAGTTTGAATGTTCTCTCCGTGCACGAATGGGTTTCTCTGGGTACATCGTCTTCCTCCCACAGACAAAACACATGCCTGTTTGGTTAATTGTCCCTAGTTTGGATTCATTTTAAAACTAAAATAAATTTATTTGGGTTCATTTTAAATTTGAGACAATTGTAAGTCGGGGCAAATTTAGCTGTAATGTTTGGACAGGCCGTATATTCTATGCTTACAGGTTTATTTGTGTTTTTATCTCACATATAATGTTGAAAAAATTCACTTGTTTTTGTCCAGGGTTTTACGCATAAATTAATTTTTTCTCACTATTTCTCTTCACATCGCCTTCATGCTTCTGTTTGCGTTGTCGTTTGTGTCTTCATTGGTTGTGTTGTTTGTATTTTTCATCCCAGGCTTTTATTTTCGCATTCCATTTTTCTTTGTTAAGCTACCTGTCATTTTCCCATTAGATCTGTCTCTGTACACACAGTAGCTAATAAGCTGGTCAAAAACCAGCAGCTGTGCTCTCATGGCTTTAAATCCCCTTTGCTCCTCTGTGTCCTTGCTGCTTGTGGTTTCTCCTGTTGATGCATGTTTGTTAGAATAAATTACCTCCATTTTAACAGCTACTAAACTGTCAGCACATTCATATCTTAAATGATCGCTTTCACCTGCTCCTCATTTAGGCTATTGCTGCTAATGTTAGGTAATCTGTTTTAAACAGAATGATTTAAAGTAAACTGTTTAGTTTCACAGTAAAATTTGTGCATCTAATAACTGTCGTCCACAGTCTCCTTCAGTTGGTTTTTGTTTGTTCCACAGATTCAAACATGTATTTTTTCTGGTAAAAAAAAATAAAATAAAATAAAGGCGGCTGAAAGTCACCGATCAATTTCACACTTTTTATTGTGCAAACATTCCAGCACCGCTGTGTCTTCATCAGAGTCAAGGTGGTCTCAGAATTCTGTTTGCACAGCAAAAGCTCTAAAATCAATATCTGAGCTTCTTTATTTGTTAGTTTGTTGTTCTTCATCGGGGAGGGACCTGACACAGATCTTTACTGCTGAAAGATGTGCAGAGAGCTCTGTTTTTATTAGTGTGTTTTTATTCCTCCTAGTCTTTGCGGTTTATCATTTTTTGGATTTTTTTTGTCACATTTTAACTTTGAACCACGTGTGTGAAATGTAAAAATAAGTTGAGGTTTTCGCATTTGACTTTGTACATTTGGATTCAGAATTCAGAGAGCAGTGATTATTAAAAAGTCAGCATCGTTTCTCTTTCACTGTCATCAAAAAAAAAAAAAACATGGCTCAGATAATATCCAGTAGTCTCGGATCACCTGCTTTGACCCCATGTTTCCTTGGCGACACATCAGCAAGGAGATGAAGATGAGGATGGTGAACAGGACACACTGAGAGGACAGAAAACAGATGAAATGGGATAAAATGGGTTTTAGTTAGCGTAAACAGTTGTTAATCTGCTTCCTGTATTTTGAAGACAAGTCTTCTAAGATTGACGTCAAATTTATTGGATAGTTATTGTTTGCAAAATTACTGATAGATAAGATAAGATAAAACTTTACTGATCTCACACTGGAGAAATTTGCACGTCATTGCAGTTCAATATGGAGAGGGTGAGATAAAATAAAGAAGAAAGGTAAATAAATGGAAAGAGAAAAAACACTATACATACATAATATATAACAATGCACATATACACACATACATAGAGTATAGATAGAGTAAAGAGTACCTTAATGGCAGTTTGAAATATGGGTTTACTCATATCTTTTTAACAGTTACATTTCATCACTTAAGTAAACAAAACTGTGAAAAATAAATTCTAAATGGTTGAATATGTGAGGCAGCCATGGCTCAGAGATGACAGTTCTCCATTGAGAAGATCAGTGTTTGACATTTCAGACTAATCTGACCGTAGTGGTAAAAAAAAGACTTCTAAAACATAAATTGCAAAAAAAAAAAAAAAATCCTTTTATGTGAAAGGAAAAGGCATTGTAAATCCTTTGTAGAAAGGTAAAAGGAATTCATATAGACGTTAACACGTTTGGTTTAATTCAAGAATGAGAACCCTTTTCACATTCAAAACAAGCAGCATGAAGAGATTGACTAAAAAAAAGGACCTGGATTGACACCAAACAGCAATCACTTCAAAGTTCTGTCTCCAAACATTTACAAAGCGTTGGCAAAGGAAGTGGTGATGCAACAAGATGGTAACAAGAGAGTGCTCTCAGGCCTGTTAGCTTCCAGTACCAGATACAGACAACTTTACTGTTCCATGACAAAAACCTTGAGTACGCACATAGGTAGGAATATCCATGTGCCGTTTTGTTTTCAACTGTTTCTTAGAATTTACTGTAATTTTTTAGATTTTTATTTGAAATCTGCAACATTTGACAAAACTATCGACTCAATAATTTATGTGGTGATTCCACGTCACCCAGATTATATTCTGAACCCTTACCCTAAAATCCCATTCTTGAGTTCAACCAGGCATCCAGGTTTTAATTTCGTTAAGCTGTGTGAAATTTCTTGGCATACAAACCTGAAAGAACACAATCACATCGAAACGAGGATTAAGTCCAAAAGTTGAATGTGGAGAAATCAGATTTTAATTGAAAACGTGTACGAAAGTTGCATTTTGTCAAAATATAACGAATTAATGCCTTATCAATGGATCATTTGAATGAACGGTCTAAAATATAATCCTCAAAAAAACTTTGAAGCATTTTTTGAGCAGTAACAAAACTGATTTTGAGGAAAAACACCTTAAAATTTTGAAAATTTTCCCTGTGAGTTAGCAATGTTTTTGTTTCTTTCCAACTGGGAAATGTTAATATGCAAATACTGTTTGAGGTTTCCTCTTTATATTGAAATTAAAAAAATACTCAATAAATTTACAAAAAAATTAGGATTCAGACCAAACAGTAATGTATCATCGTAACCATCAAGACAAATTAAGTCATATCTCTAGATCCACTTATGATATCAGAATGATCCAAGTATCAAAATGAAGCTTTTAAAGCCAGGAATCTGAAAATGTAATTAGATCATTTTGACCACATTTGACTTAATCCTCATTTCGATATAATGGGTCACATCTCGTGTTTGTATTGGTCAAAAGAGCCACAGCCTTTCACTTATGATCTTTTATCACAGAGTCATGTTGCAGGTTTTGAACTGTCCAAGTGGTAACATGTAGACACACAACCTGTACTAGAGGATCAATAACCCTCACATGATCTTGAAGAATGCGACATATAACTTGTAACACTGGTCCCTATAGTTTGGAAGAAGGATTATGTAGAGAAAGGCAGAATGAACCTGAGATTTCTGCTTCCAGTGATGCAGTTTTGTGATGGTTCTGCAAACAGTTGTTTACGGTAATTCAGCACGGAGTACGCTCATGATGTGTTTAAAACTACTAAG